GAGAACATTTTGTGTTGAACATGATGACCAAGGGGTCCTACATCTCGGTATATTTAGTCCACATTAAAAGCCTGGGTCTGTTGTGTTGTGTTATTGAGTTCAGCTGCTCCCCCTCGCACAATCCATTTCATTACTCAGGTCCGAGGTCAAGACTACACCACAATGTCTCGCTCTGTACAATAGCCAACATGCATACTTTTTTTTTTTTTTTTACCACAAACACTGTCACTTTCGCATCATGTTACCCTAAGGACAGCTGTGGTTGAGAAGCCTAGGAGCGTACACATTTGTTCTACCCAGTGTACATCCCAAATGACACCCTATTCCCTATGGGCCCTGGTCAAAAATAGTGCACTATAGAGGTAATAGGGTGCCATTTGTGATACCCACCCAAGTTTGCCTGTATGCTTGGACTGTGGCGTCGGTGGGATCCCTCGTGAAGAGCTCTTGAGAGGGTGTGGGCGACAAGCAGCCAAGCGAGGCCACGCTTAGATGAGTAGACTTCCAGAGCACCACCGTGCTGTTGGTATGACAGCGGTGGAGAGGGCACTGAGTAAACAAGGGAGTGTAGCCATTGTCCAGGGGAGGATGGATGATGATTCATAATGCTCCTTACAGAGGATCTGGGCCCGGTTGCATAAAACACCTTAAGTCAATTTTCCCCTTATCTTTTCCCTTAAAGTTTCCTTAACTTTAAGTAAGTTGCACAAAACATTTTAAGGTGAATTAAATTCAGTGAAAAAGTTAAAGGTGCCCATGAGGTCCCTTAACTGCTTCATCCAGTATGGATATCAATGTAAAGAGCTTTTGTGAAATGTTGCTTTCATCTGCCCTGGTTACCAAAGGGAAACATCAACCAGCTAGCTACTTAGCTAAACAATGGAAGTTGCACAATCCATGGCTACAAAGCTAGCTGGCTAGTTAGCTAACTACTCTGTAAACTAGCTTGACGTGCTAGAAAGTCATCAAAACAAGTTGATAAAAAATGTCAACCCCTCTGAAAGACACAAATTCACATACAGAGGTTGTCACTGCATGTCACTATTCCCCCACCATTACAGCGTGAGGGTTACAATATCACTAGTAAATGAGAACATTCTTGTTTTCATCCAATAACTTTCGTTGCCCAACTGCTCCCCTCTGTGGACAAACCACTCACCCCACTGCTCTCCCATGTGCCCTTGCTGCCTGTTCTGGACTGAATTAGGTGATTGTAGAGCGAAACAAGCTTTTGACAGAGACACTCTAATTTAACCTTTATTTGTCTATGAAATGAATCAATGGATATTCAAACTCTTAACCTCTAAACATGATTGGATTTAAATAGATATGATACATTTTCTATTAAAATAATCTAATTCATGAAATACCTACAGTACCAGTCAAAAGTTTGGACACACCTACTCATTCAAGGGTTTTTCTTTATTTTTACTATTTTCTACATTGTAGAATAATAGTGAAGACATCAAAACTATGAAATAACACATATGGAATCGTGTAGTAACCAAAAAGGTGTTAAACAAATCAAAATATATTTTATACTTGAGATTCTTCAAAAGTAGCGACCCTTTGCCTTGATGACAGCTTTGAACACTCTTGGCATTCTCTCAACCAGCTTCATGAGGTAGTCACCTGGAATGCTTTTCCAATTAACAGGTGTGCCTTATTAAAAGTTAATTTGTGGAATTTCTTTCCTTCTTAATGCATTTGAGCCAATCAGTTGTGTGGTGACAAGGTAGGGGTGGTACAGAAGATAATTCTATTTGGTAAAAGACCAAGTCCTTATTATGGCAAGAACAGCTCAAATAAACAAAGAGAAATGACAGTCCATCAATACTTTAAGACATGAAGGTCAATCAATACTGAACATTTCAAGAACTTTGAAAGAACCATCAAGCGCTATGATGAAACTGGCTCTCATGAGGACCTCATGAGGACCGCCACAGGAAAGTAAGACCCAGAGTTACCTCTGCTGCAGAGGATAAGTTCATTAGAGTTAACTGCACCTCAGATTGCAGCCCAAATAAATGCTTCACAGAGTTCAAGTAACAGACACATCTCAACATCAACTGTTCAGAGGAGACTGCGTGAATCAGGCCTTCATGGTCGAATTGCTGCAAAGAAACCACTACTAAAGGACACCAATAATAAGAAGAGACTTGCTTGGGCCAAGAATCACGAGAAATGGACATCAGACATGTGGAAATCTGTCCTTCGGTCTGATGAGTCCAAATTTGAGATTTTTGGTTCCAACCACTGTATCTTTGTGAGATGCAGAGTAGGTGAACGGATGATCTCTGCATGTGTGGTTCCCACCGTGAAGCATGGAGGAGGAGGTGTGATGGTGTGGGGGTGCTTTGCTGGTGACTCTGTCAGTGATTTATTTAGAATTCAAGGCACACTTAACCAGCATGGCTACCACAGCATTCTGCAGCGATACGCCATCCCATCTGCTTTGCATTTAGTGGGACTATCATTTGTTTTTCTACAGGACAATGACCCAAAACACACCTCCAGGCTGTGTAGGGGCTATTTGACCAAGGAGAGGGATGGAGTGCTGCATCAGATGACCTGGCCTCCACAATCAACTGACATCAACCCAAATGAGATGGTTTGGGATGAGTTGGACCGCAGGGTGAAGGAAAAGCAGCCAACAAGTGTTCAGCATATGTGGGAACTGCTTCAAGATGGTTGGAAAAGCATTCCTCATGAAGCTGGTTGAGAGAATGCCAAGAGTGTGCAAAGCTGTCATCAAGGCAAAGGGTGGCTGTTTGAAGAATCAAACATAGAAAAATATATTTAGATTTGTTTAACACTTTTTTGGTTACTACATGATTCCATGTGTGTTATTTCATAGTTTTGATGTCTTCACTATTATTGTAAAATGTAGAAAATATTTCAAATGAAGAAAAACCATTGAATGAGTAGGTCTGTCCAAACGTTTGACTGATACTGTACACCTGCCTTGTAACAATAATTGAATATAAAAACATTTGTCTAAAATGCTCACTGCAAATACATTTGTTATAAATAGCTTAAATTAGAAAATATTTGTGACATTGGAACTTGGAGCACGTAAGGGATATGCAGTGTACCCATTGGCTATATATATATATTTTCTGTTGTATTTTTGACTTTATGTTTTTTACCCCATATGTAACTCTGTGTTGTTTTTATTGCACTGCTTTGCTTTATCTTGGCCAGGTCGCAGTTGTAAATGAGAACCTGTTCTCAACTGGCTTAACTGGTTAAATAAAGGTGAAATAAAAAAAATATATATATATAATACAGATCCCCTGGGAAGATTTTCGGCACCTTTATCTTTCTTCATCAAGGTATATACTGCCATCTTGTGGTTAAAAAGTTGTTTGACGCTCAGTTGCTGGTTTACTCAATAAGGAATGCGAGTAACGTTACAGCTTATACTGTTATCATTTATTATTCATCACTTCAACATTTGCTTGAAGTACATGGTGAGTACAGGTATCCACTGACACTAACACGTGTTTTAGATGACCAGAGTGAGTACAGATATTTTATGTGCAAAGTATCTGGAAAACCGGTTACAAATATTTAGAGAGAGAGAGAGAGTGAAATAGAAAGAGCGAAAGAGAGAGAGAAAATATAGAAAAATAAAGTGAGAAATAGAGAGAGAGCGTGAGGGGTTACACAGAAAAACCTTAGGATAAGGGCTCCCTGTTCTAATATGTGAATGGGGTGTCTTTGCCCAGAAAGGATACTGCATGAATTTGTAATTATTTTTTTCCCTTTGGGAGGAAACAATGGCATGTTTGAAAGCAGAACAAGTTGAGTTTTATTAGCGGTCCCCTTCACAAGGCCAGCTGCCCATATGGAATACAACGTGTCCAACAAGGGTCACAAAAGAACCAAGTGACAGCCTTCACAAAACCCCAGAGATACTTACTCCTCATCCTTACTGGGAGATGAGCTGACCCAACTGACAGCTGAATAGAAACAAAACGTCCACAGCTCTCCATCCACCACTGCCACAACATCCCCTCTCTTTTCCATTCTGCATGTGCAAACCCCTAAAGATCCACAGCTGCACTCAATTCTATATTTTGGGTTTCTTTGTGAATTGATAAGCAACCCAGTTCTATGAAAAACAGAGTGAGAAATGTTTTAAATCGGTTTATATTGACTATAATTAATTTGATGTTTTAGCAAATATTGTTCATGAGAACTGAGAAGGTTGGAATTGGACTGGGATTTTTTTTCTTCTAACTTAATTGGTCATTTGTAGTCCTATAATAAGCCATGCATGCTTTTCAATTTAGAAATGTAAGGAAAACATCACAAAAAAAAGTATTTTGTTGTAGGCCTATGCATAACTCGTAAAAGCACTTTTTACTTTTGATATCAACGAAATTGTCCAGACTGTGTTTGCAAGAGATTCTCTTCAGAGTTGTTTGTTTCCATTTTTACTTTGTGATCCAACGTAAAACCTGAACCGAATTAGATACAGGAAGTCATTAAACAGGTTTTGCACGAGCTGCTACTTTAAAAAGGGAACTCCTTTTCATCTAGTTTTGTGCATAATGGCATTTATGCATGTAACAATTTTCACAAATAAGGAAACATTTACATCCAAGTTTCTGTTCGATTCCCCTTACTGGGCCAATATAAAAGTAATTTAATGTAGGTTAATAAATCAATAATAACCACATCGAACTGACAGAGGTTTATTCACGGCCATAAATATTCAAGATCAATCCACAGTCCACCCAAAAACATAAATTAAATCATAATATGAGCATTTTGCGCACTTTACAACATAAATAACATTCCTTTATAACATTCATTTGGTAAACATTTTAAAACGAACGGAATCTCAAGAACCCTAACATTGTCCAGACCTCATGGGCCACCGAATAATCAGCTCTGATGTGAGTAAAATAGAGATCATAATTTAAATCCAATTTCAATCCCTTTCTTTAGATTTTTTTTGTTGACTCGAAGTTCTTTTAAGTATCCATCGTCTACCAAGTCCATTGGTACATTTGCGCCATATGATGCACACTGGGCAGCTGTGAGATGGCGTCAGGGCTGTAGTGAGAGCGCATTTGCATATGATGGAGAGAATAGGCGCGTAACGCCGACAGAGGTATTCCATCCCTGAATGAGGCCTCAAGTTCCTGAGTTTTGCTAGTGTCACATGGCTTTCCATCCCGAACCAAAACCGGAATGGCCACCCGTCTTGGGGACACGAGATGAACCATCTCCATACCCTTCTCAGCGCGTGCTCTCTTCATTTTATACCGGTGATTCTGGAACCAGATCTTCACCTGGGTTGGTGTCAGTAGTAGTGCGTTTGCAAGGTGCTCTCTCTCCGGTGCCGAGAGATATCTCTGTTGTCGGAATCGTCGCTCAAGTTCGTAGGTTTGCGCTTTGGAAAACAGCACCCTCGTTTTCCTCTTCTTTCCGGAGTCGCTGCTGTCACCTGTGGTGTCTCTGTCGATATCTTGGGATTCGTCAGTGGACAGCTCTGGAGATTTCGGTTCGTTTCGAGAATCAACTGACAAACCATGCACTGTTTGAAAGGAAACAAAGTGGGTCTGGTTATCAACTAGGATTGACAACAAACGCAATGAAATGGGGCTACATAAATGTATTAATATCTGAAAACATATCTTCATCGTAGAGACCACCAATAATCGAAAACAATGGCCTATTGGTGACAAAGATGAACATATTTTGATAAGGCTCTATGCATGTATAGGCTAATTACGCCCGGATGAAATTGCTTTACAAACGGATAATATCATACATTATGATTGGACATGGATAGACTAATGGTTGACCTTTTGCAAAACAAAACAAAACATGAATGCAAATGTTTATAATAATGACATAGGCCAATAATTTAACGGATGAGATATGACTAGGAAGTGGACAAATAAATTAGGCCTATACATCGATGTTTACGAAACGAACTTTTTAAGAGCTACTCACATGAATATTGCATGGTGCTGGAGGAGGCAAGCCATCTTGAGTAGGGATTACCACCACCATCACACAAAAGGCTCTTGTAGGGCACATTTCCAGTGTTTTCAGAAGATGGATTTTGCGTCAATATCTCAGTCGCTTCCACCTCGTTCTCATCTTCAGTCTCCTCCGTTTCAGAACCTCCATTGGTGTCAGGAAGATCCAGAATGTCCTTTACAGAGAAGCCCGTCTTTGTGTTGCTGAATGACATGGTGTGAGAAAGTCTGTGGCGCGCACTGTAAGCAAGAGTTCGTTATTTTCCTGCTACTGTTCTGAACTAGTATAACTGAATAAGAGGATAGTATTTCAAGATTAGGTTTTAAGATGTTCAGGCTGTGTCCTTTAGGTTAATTCAAGCTAAACGGAGACTTAATCGGCATGCGGTAGTTCACCGTTGACTCGTCGAGAGGACTCCAATGTGCTGGTCATGGAGGAGCGCAGAAGTTGATGGAGAGGAGAGGCTCATGGATACAGCATGACTAGGAGCACTGGCATAAAGGAAGCCATCACCAGACGGATTGGTCCATATAAGGTTCGTTGAAACACTGAATCAGTAATGGCAAATGAATCGGAATAACGGAGAAAGACTAAACGTGTGTAGGCGGGTCCTTGGAGTCAAGTGGATGAAGACTGGGTGTGAAATGCTAGGGTTTGGGGACATCCGAACCTCTGTCATTGGTGCTTCAGAAATGTCATGACTGGTATTATGGGACAGTTAATTACCGAGATGGGGAGGGACGTTTCTGCATGTAATTTACATACAAACCATTAAAATATATTGCTTCAAAGCATCACACAAATATATAGTTATTTAAGACCAAAAACATCATTTTGAGATATATTTTATTACCCTAAAGATCGACATTTGAATTTTGTCTGTTTAATATTAGTAGGCTAATTCATGAAATCCTTTTAGGTCAATATTTTGGTTTAGGCTTAAGTCAAGTAGCGTATAGGGCCTATCATGAATGAAACATAGCCTTACATAGAATGTTGTTTGCAATTTAAGCGTCTTATCTCTGCAAGGTGTTGATAGGCTATATACTATTTTATTTGGATAAATTACACGCTCTAAGAAAAATAATAATACATTCAGTTTATTGGGACACTGACTAGGCCTGTACAGAATTTGTATTGGGCTAAACTTATTCATGTGGTCCTTATCGTCCGTATTACTATGATACTTATTACCATATCATTAGTTCTGCTCACTATTTATCTCTGTCATAAATATCTAACTATCTAATAAATATCTAATAAATATCTAACTGTCTCATGGACTATTACGTTTGGTATGGTTACATAAGACAGATGGTTACTTAAGTAGCGTTGTTGGTCTGGGTGGATGGGTGGGCGAATAACGCGAACATAATACATATCATATGAAACGTAATATATCATGGTAAAATGGAGTGTCTCGGATTTATTTACAGAATAATAGGAAATGCTCTGAGACCAGGTTGCAGCGCAGCACCCATCCGCCCATGCATCACCTGGCATGTCCATTGCTACACAATGTAATACAAGTATATACCTTGGGAATATTAGCTTCCAATTTCTTTATAACAATAACAATTATTTTATTGCAGCAATTGGTCGTGTTTAATTCATGTGGGAAATAGAATGATAAGCTCTTGAGTCAATATAAGACGCTGGCTATCATGTTCATATTATTTCTTTTTAGATGTTTTTATTCTCCCCTTCTCTATGCTCCAATGCCCTCATCTAGTATGTGATGTGGGTGACAATGATTCTCGTTCTCAGCGAATCCTCCGGGCGTCCTGGGTGGTCGGACTAAGCAAACACACGTACAAACCGATTGCTAAGCTGCGGGACAATGGAGGAAATGTAGACAAATGTCCTGCTTCTTTTGGAAGTTTTTGTGCAGGCTGAGATTTAGCATTTATTTCGGGGGCAAGATAATAGATGATTGACGTCCCCTTACAATGGGCCGTAACTATTTGGAATAAATCCGTGGTTCCTCCTAGTTGTCATGGTGTTCAACTGCTTTCAATGGACTATCTCTTCATTCATCTCTGACCCCCCCCCCCCCCCCCCCCAGCCTCTACCTCACACACTCTCTCTCTCTCCTCTCACACACACACACACACACACACATACACACACACAGACACACACACACACATTATTATTATTATTGTGTTATTACTTTGGTAGCACTTGCGTATTTGTTTGACCAGTAAAGCGGTTCTCAAACATATTTAGACAGGGTGAGAGGCTATCGCATACAAGACCACTTCACTGATATTTACATGTTTACTCTCTCACTCACAGTGTACACACCATATAATTACAATCTCTATGGTACACACTGCTGCTTATATGGCCTAAAGAGTCGAATCATCTTTCACTGTGGCCATGCACGTTCTGGTTGCCTGCTTCTTGAGATATAATCACTCTCTGAAGGGTCCTTCCTTCAAATGTACACTGCTTTATTTCAGGTCAAATACGACCTTTCTGTAATTGATATAGGAATGATAAATGGCTTATTAAAGTACACATATTCATGATCTTAGGTGAATGTTTATAGCCCAAAGGCATGTTTGTGAAGTTCGGGGTCAATGCTTGCCAGATTGTGAACCTTCTTTGTCATTATTATCAACACATCATGATGCTACTTGGCATTTGGCAACTACTGATACATTTTCAACATAATCAATTGGGCTCAGCCCAAGAGAGAGAAATCATGACATGACCAAGCAGAAGCTTCTCTGCGATCTCAAATAAGCAAACAAAGAAACATCCCACATGTCCATTCCCAGCAGGTTCTCAGATAGAGCGGTAAAGAAACATCCCACATGTCCATTCCCAGCAGGTTCTCAGATAGAGCGGTAAAGGTTTATTCTAACCTTTAGGGTTTGAGCACCCCAAAAATCCAGGACATTGGACACCACAATAAACATAATTCTTAGGGCAAGGGGAAAAAACTATATTGTGACAATTGTGGCATTTCTTTATGCAACACTGTATCGATTCAACAGCTAAATTACATATCAGATATATTCTGACATTAAGGAGTTGTAAGCAGATTAATCAGACAAAAGTTTACTTCCTGGCCATATTTAAAATACTTTAGTACCAAAGTATTCCAAATGCATTAGAAAAACCCTTAGTTCCACCCTATTGCAGATCTAATTGCAATAGGCTACATAGAGAATTGTGAGGCATATAAACTCAACAAAAAAAGAAATGTCCTCTCACTGTCAACTGCGTTTATTTTCAGCAGACTTAACATGTGTAAATATTTGTATGAACATAACAAGATTTCACAACTGAGACATAAACTGAACAAGTTCTAACAGAAATTGTGACTAACAGAAATTGAATAATGTGTCCCTGAACAAAGGGGGGGTCAAAGTAACAGTCAAATGTAACAGTCAGTATCTGGTGTGGCCACCAGCTGCATTAAGTACTGCAGTGCATCTCCTCCTCATGGACTGCACCAGATTTGCCAGTTCTTGCTATGAGATGTTACCCCGCTCTTCCACCAAGGCACCTGCAAGTTCCCAGATATTTCTGGGGGGAATGGCCCTAGCCCTCACCCTCCGATCCAACAGGTCCCAGACATGCTCAATGGGATTGAGATCCGGGCTCTTTGCTGGCCATGGCAGAACACTGACATTCCTGTCTTGCAGGAAATCATGCACAGAACGAGCAGTATGGCTGGTGGCATTGTCATGCTGGAGAGTCATGTCAGGATGAGTTGCAGGAAGGGTACCACATGAGGGAGGAGGATGTATTCCCTGTAACGCACAGCGTTGAGATTGCATGCAATGACAACAAGCTCAGTCCATTGCATGCAATGACAACATGCTGTGACACACCGCCCCAGACCATGACGGAGCCTCCCCCTCAAAATCGATCCCGCTCAAGAGTACAGGCCTCGGTGTAACGCTCATTCCTTCGACGTTAAACGCGAATCCAACCATCACCCCTGGTGAGACAAAACCGCGACTCGTCAGTGAACAGCACTTTTTGCCAGTCCTGTCTGGTCCCGCGACGGTGGGTTTGTGCCCACAGGCAACGTTGTTGCCGGTGATGTCTGGTGAGGACCTGCCTTACAACAGGCCTATAAGCCCTCAGTCCAGCCTCTCTCAGCCTATTGCACTGATGGAGGGATTGTGCGTTCCTAGTGTAACTCGGGCAGTTGTTGTTGCCATCCGGTACCTGTCCCACAGGTGTGATGTTTGGATGTACCGATCTTGTGCAGGTGTTGTTACACGTGGTCTATCACTGCGAGGACGATCAGCTGTCAATCCTGTCTCCCTGTACCACTGTCTTAGGTTTCTCACAGTACGGACATTGCAATTTATTGCCCTGGCCACATCTGCAGTCCTCATGCCTCCTTGCAGCATGCCTAAGGCACGTTCACGCAGATGAGCAGGGACCCTGGGCATCTTTCTTTTGGTGTTTTTCAGAGTCAGTAGAAAGGCCACCAGTATGAAGTTGTGTCAGGGTGCAGAGCACCTAGGTGGACCTGTCACACTGTTACCACAACATTGGTAAGTGACACTGTCTAAGTGGCAGCATTTACATTTTACATTTGGGTCATTTAGCAGATGCTCTTATCCAGAGCGACATACAGTTAGTGAGTGCATACATTCATTTTTTTGTTGTTGTTCATACTGCCCCCCCGTGGGAATCAAACCCACAACCCTGGCGTTGCAAGTGCCATGCTCTACCAACTGAGGGAGGAGTAAGCATTTACAACTGCCTGCCCAGTAAGCACAGGCAGATAAACACACACACACACACACACACACACACACACACACACAAAAGCCTCAATCAATCCCATCATTGCTCTCAGAAGTACTTCTTTGTCAAGCGTGTCACTTACTGGCACACACAGACACTGTCTTACATCCACTAGTAGAATTCCCCATCAAACTATTTTCAATTTAAGTTAGCAGATGGCATAATTTAACTAGACTAGAGCATGTTCTACATGTCAACATTTCAATCACTAATTTGATGATGACAGTAGATGAGGTCACTGATAAAGTGACCAATTGGTGACAACATAAGTGTCATCACTAGGAGATGTGTGAGGCATAATAAAAGTAATCACAGTTGAAATACTAACACTGCACCTGTAATTCAACCGGACCGGTCTGCAAAGCATAAAGGTATGCAAATGAGCCTCAAATAGCATGATCAATCCAAAATAATAGGTAATGCAGTTGGATA